TTGAGCTGAGAGTGGCTCCTTCCTGCCCTGGCTGCTCTCCTCAGGGAAGTGTAATAGCACTGCAGTGATACCCAAGAATCCAGGATAAACACAAACTTATTAGACCTTATTGTCATTGTTCTGTGTTTTTAAGGTTTTTTAAATTATTTTCCAGAGTGCTACATCAGGTATAAGGGAGGGAATAACAAGCAGAATGGTCTTGGGTTCTCAAGCAGTACGGATGAAATAAATATTAATGGCAGTTAAGTGCAATAGAGGTGCAAGTGCTCGTTTTAAATCTTTCTTGGAAGAAGTGACTTAGAAATACCATGTCATTTTGCACATACTGGGTGAGAGGGTTGAGTCATTTCCTTCAGAGTCCTCAACCTCAGCAGAGGTGTGAGAGCAGAGTCTGCAGTACAAGAAGAGAACATGTAAATGTGAGCAGTTTGAAGCCACAAGCTGGTGTGTCCTGTCACCCTCAGAAGGCTCCCTGACTCTCACAGTGCTTCCTCGCATCTGGCAAACTTAAAATTTGAAATGAAGAGCTAAATCCGTGGACAACTCTACTTATTTTGAGGAACAAAAGTGTTTTTTTCACAACTCGGTGAGAACTCTGACTTCATAAGTACTTGTGGTATAGGATGAACATTCTCCTGGGCTGAAAGCAGATAGAGATAAAAGTTTACAGGCGATTCAGTTTGTCTCAGAAACATGTTCCTGGCTCTTAAAAATGTACATAGAAAAATCTGCCTATCAATGACCATGTAGCAGTAACTTCAGTGAGTGGCTGTGAGTGAAAGTGCACGTGGAAATGCCAGGAGTGCAGCTTGCTCCTGCCCTGCTCCTGTGTTATACAGTTAGTAATGTCTGTGTGACCTTTTATGTGGCAAGTTGTGTTGCTGCCTCCACAAAGTGACCAGGGAGCCACATCCTGAGTACTTGACAGGGAAAATGAGTTGAAATAGGATAAAGGTGGAAAGAGATTGGAGGAGCAGAACCTTTCCTTTTTAGCAATTTTGCAAAAAATAAACATAACAAAGTTATGTTTATTGTTGTTTTGCAAACAACTTATGGCCAAATGTATTGCAGAAATTCTTTAGCCATTCATAATGGGAGTGGGAATACAGCTCATTCTCTTACTTAAAGAAATTTTCTAACATTAAATTGCAATTAATTTAATTTTGCAGATATTGCATGTTTTTTGTTTTTTTTTTTTTTCTTGCTGGGTTATTTTCCCTCTCTTAACAAAACTCTGAGTATGTTGCCTGAAATAATCTCAAGTAGCAGATGCTGAGAATGGGGAATTACACTCATGGTTTCAGCTTGGACCATCAGCTTCAAGGAGTTTAATTACTTCCAAAATTTTCCCCTTGTAAATAGTGAATTTAATCAATATTTGTTTGAAACATCACACTTATTTCCTACATAGTAGGTGACTTTTGCCAAAGGAGGAGAATAAGTGCTGGAATCTTTTCTATTAAGAACTATAAAACAAGCCTTGTATCCTTGATTTGTTTAACCTAGTTTTGCTGTGCACATTTTCAGGGGTGGGGAGGAAATTGCTGCAAGTAAAACTGGGTAAGAAAACCCCAGCATTCCTATCTGGCTTTTGCTAATGGGCCCCTTTGTAAGACACTCTCTCTTCTCCCCTGCCTAGAAAATGCTGGATACCTGAAGCAGCTTTTGCCCTGTGAGAAGGGTAGGGAACAGCTTTGTGCAGGTTCAAATGCTTGTGTTTGGAAGAAGGCAGTAATTAAATGGAGTTCTGACAGGTTTGACTTCACTGCTCTGAATTCAGCTTTGAATTCGGCCTATCTGTTCACTCACCACATGAACCGGTTTCCTTTTCTTTTTCACCCTCCCTGTAGACTGTCGACAGATGAGCTCAGAAAATGCTCCATGTGCTGCTTGACATCAGCTGCTGAAGAACAGACTTGGGTAGATGTTGAGTTTGTCAGTGTATCTATAATGCTCTTTTATGAACAACACCTTGATGAATACTTCACTGTTCATCTATTCACTATGAGGCCTTAGTTGCCTTTATTTAGCTTTCTTCTATTCTGCCAGTAGCACTTTGAGCTGGATTTTTGGGAACTGCCAGCATGCAGTTCTGGTTTGGGTAATGCAGCAGATCAGACAGTGAAGGCGTCACGGGCAGCACTTTGGGCATAAAGGTCAGTGAGCAGAAGAACTTTCTCTTAAATCAATCCAGGCAGCATCATCTTTGTGGTTAAAGTCCAAACCCCTCAAGTCAAGCCCTTAAATTTTTCACTGGGATAGCGTATCCATTTCTTGCATTAATAAATGTAATGTTCTGCTTTACAGCTCACAGATAGTGAACTGTTTTCTCTAGTTTCTCTCCTTGGCTGTACTTTACTTGGAGGTAATCCAATAATGAAGTGAGTTTTGTTTTGCAGGCCTCTTTCTGCTGCTTGTGGGAGTTGAGTGACCATTAAGAAGAAAAAGGGTTGTTCCGCTCATTTCCTATGTAGCTGTTTTTCTGCAGATACTCAGTTCTCAAACACACTGTGATTATTTGATTACGTGAAATACAAACCCACCCAGAATTTTGCAGCATTCCAACATACTTGGTTAATCTAGTGGTGCCCTGTGTTGTTAAACACAGCTGGCATATCTCCAGACACATTGTGTATTTGGTTATATTTGTGTGTGAGCTTGAGTTGAAGGCTTTGCAGAAGCAAGTTTAAGGACAGGGTTGTGCCAGCCAGGGTGTGCAGACACCACCTGACGGGCCACAGCTCTGGAGTGTTCTCCTCTGGCAGTAAGGATGGTAGAGCAGAGAATATTTGGTCAGATTTACAGCTGGAGTAAATGGTGCATAATGACAAGCTAGTCCTGTTGTCTCTTTTGCACAGGAGCTTTGTGACTCAATAATGTACTTTCCAGGAGGATGAAATGTTTATTTGTGGCTCTGGTGGTTCCAAGACATTAGTTCTCAAAAATTAGTGTTTGGACTTTGTAGAGGGTGTGTGAATGCTTTGCTCATTCAGCCTGTGAATGAGCATGATAGGAGATGATAGGAAAAAAGATGATAGGAAAAAAAATGTGAGATGATAGGAAAAAAAAAATCCTAGAATCCTATCATGCAGGAATATGTAGACAGACAAAAAAAAAAATTAAAGGGCTCTGTGTAAGTATTTTGCTGACAATTATCTCTTCTCTGGAATAGAGAGCCTAATTAGTTTGTGGCTTCTTCAGATATACCCAAAACCCTTTTATTGAGCCTTAATGTTATCTCTTTTTAACAGGCTTAGATTATTCAGAACTGATTCAGTTTAAACAAATAAAAATTGAAAACAAACCTTCGCTCTTTCACTGCCTGACTGAGCTTTTGCTTCAGGGAAGTGTACCTGTGCTTGGATAGCTTTCACCCGTCTTTTATATGAGTGAAAAATTTTGTAGCTCAAAAAGCTTCTCACTTTTGAAACTTTATAGAAGATACTATAGAAAAAGCATGCATAAATAATGGCAGTACTGTAGTTTGATGTGTACTGGTGGCCTACTAAAATATAAATGGAAAACTTGATCACTGTTTAGAATGTACAATTTAAAATACTCATGAGGCTCTTCCCTATTTGAAAAGCAGACTTTTAATATTATCAATGATTATTTTGATTAGTCCCAGCTCGAGCAAAGTTTTAATTTCAAGGATGATCACAAAGAAGCCACTTGACTGCAGATTGACCTTGGAATTTTTAGTAGCCCCACATACAGACATGAGAAAAGAATTATGGAAACTAAATGCTACATTTGAGTGAACAAATTGCAGGGACAGAATGGGGAGGAGAATCAAGAGAGAAAATAAAATCTTGGCAGTACAAGATACATTTATTTAAAAAAATGCAACTTCTTTATAGACTTTGGTTCTGAACAATATGGGGTTTTATTTAGTTGATCAGTAAAGATAGAAAGCAAAACAAAGGCTACTTTGTCATGCCAGACTTTCAGAAATATACCCACATCACAATGGCATGCAGCACAGTTTTTTCATACAGCTTTTTTGGCTCAGACTTGGTTTTGGGTAAGAACAAAAGTTGGCAAAAACAGCTTCTATGCTCAGAGAAGAATAACTTCTGTTGATCAGAGATTTTTTGAGGGATTTTTAATTAGACCAGTACTGTGAAGACTGCGGAGTCTAAGGAGTTCAAGACAGATATGTAAAGTACTTTTCAATTCCTCATATTTCCTCCTCACTTCCAAGTCAGTGGGGAGCTAAGTTTCAAACTGCTGCCGCAGTTTAACTCTGTATAGTTGTTTTTTTCCTGCCAAGTTTGAGACACCGTGGCCATCTAGCCCCTTCTGGAGAGATTAAAATGATGGAAAGCTGGAATACGTTCTCCGGTTAAATGAGCAAATGTTTCTATTCAAGCATGGATTCAGATTTCCCCGTGCTTTCCTGTGAGCATGTGGGATGGACAACACCATTATTTTTAATTCCACAATAAATAACTGCAGAGCTCGGGTAGCTGTGAGTAGCTGGCAGTGACTAGAAAGTAGCTGGTTACAGGATAAGGGTAACTTCGGGCTCTACTTGGTTCAAAGCCTGGTCCAGATGCAGTGATTAAGAGCCATACAGGTCGCCTCAAACAAAGAGAGGTTTTCTGGCATATCATCAGTGGAAATACTCCCAAGCTACGTTAGTAATCCCGCTGCCTGGCCTGGTATCTTGCCATTAGCATCCACATCACAGGCATGACAGAAATGCAAAAGGGAGGGAAAAGTCTCAGCTTTTTTGTTCAAAACTGCTGTCTGGGGCCCTCTTTTGAGAGAGGAAGGAGAGCACTGGTTATTCACCAGTTTGGTGACTGGTTCTCTGCACAGACATAAGTTTTAATTCCTATTTTATGTAGGAATGTGCATTCATCTGAAGGGCCAGAGAGTGGGGAAGGCACATTTGCCTTTACAGCTGGCAGCTAAGAAACGCAGCAAGACTTGATTGAAAACACGTATCTTACTGTTTTACTAACTGCAGTTTTTTTTTCCTTTCTCATTTGTAGGTCTCAGACTCTGGATACTGGCTGTGGGATATTTTTTTTATTATTATTATTTTTGATCAGGTTTTTTTCCCCTTTTTGGATGTGAATTGAATGCCAGCAACTGCTCAAGTGTTGGAAGCACGTGCAGGAGGACGCTCACCTTTTTATTTGGACCCTTGTTTGCTGGGATACTTTCAAGCTCTCCTTCACAGTCATGTGGTCATCACAGCTGCTGTTCTTCACAATGCTCTTAACACCGTTTGCCCATGGTGAGTGAGAGGTGGTGTAAATGTGCCTGTGGGAAGGGAAGAGAAGAGAAAATAGCAAAGGTTTTTTTCTATGTCTTTTTCTAATGGTGTGGGTTTTTTTACAGGATGTTGGTTTCTCTCCCTGCTTTCACCTCATGTCTTTGAGATTCCCAGGTTACATTATGACTTAACTACTGAAACTAAGAACTCTGGTGACACATGAAGGCTTCTTTTTCTGAGTTTAGTTGCTACATTAGACAGACTTTTTCTTCCCTTTTCTTGGGGAAAATGGATTTATTACCAATCAAACCAGAGTTAGGGTAATGAGAAATAAAGGCAAATTGTAAAAACACCGTCTGCTCTACCTCCCTTGTTCCTGAAGTGAACTTACGCCCAGTTGTCTCTACCTCCTGCCCTGCAGCAGTACAGGGGCACAGGGAGTGGGAGTTCTGTTCAATTCATCACGTCTTGTTTCTACTGCTCCTTCCTCCTCAGAGGGAGGACCCCTCACATTCTTCCCCTGCTCCAGCGTGGGTTGCGCCCATGGGGTCGCTCATCCTGCCAGCGAACCTGCTCCAGTGGGGGCTTCTCGTGCTACAGAGCCACAGCAGGGCTGCAACTGCTTCACCTCCAAGGGCTGCAGGGGAATCTCAGCTCTGGCATCTGGAGCACCTCCTGCCCCTCTTCCCTTCACTGACCCTGTCTCCAGAGCTGTTTGTCTCACAAAGCAGCAGCTTTGTCCCTTTCTTGGATATGTTATCCCAGAGGCTGTGCCAGAGTCCCTGATGGAACAGCCTTGGCCAGTGATGGGTCTGTCCTGGAGCCAGCTGGCATGGGCTCTGTCACACATAGGGAAAGCTTCAAGCAGCTTCTCACAGAAGCCACCCCTGTAACCAGCCCCTCCCTCCCCAAAACCTGGCCATCTAAATCCAGTACAGAGCTGTAGCAGAAAAATTTGATCTCTTTTATTAGCCAGGAAACTTTTAAGTGAAATGTGACACATGTAATTCTTTGAAATAAGATTTTGAGGCCTGTTGGGTTCTTTTGATATGAGAAACCCAAGTGTATGCTCTAGAAGTAAGCTGCCAGGTTTCACAAGTGCTGAAGGGTTGAAGAGCCCCTATTAGCAGTGGTGGGTACTAAATGCTCCAGGCAGAACTTTGGAAAATCTGTCTGCCTAATTTTTCTGGTGCTTAAATTGAAGGTGAACTCTACCAAGGATCTCATTTTAATTAAAGGCCAGTGGAAGCATGTCTGTAAATGACATGACTCTTGTATGTAAGCTGTGGGCCTCTTCTTTTAAAATATTCATCAGGCTTTTTTGAGCTTTACCAACTGATCCTTTGTGTATGTGCTAAAACACTTTTAGAAGGAAAATTTTATGAGAAATAAGGTGATGAAAAAAAAAAAAGTGATTGACTGAACGTATCTATAGAGCACAACGTCTCTTATGTAACACCTTTGGGGACAAAGGCTATCTGTAGTGTTGTTATTTAAGCAAGACTCTTCCTCACTGATTTGAAAATTAGACTGAGTGTTTAAACTGGGTTGACCAATTAGAATGGAATGAAAGAGCTATTCAGGAAGGTTCTCTCCAATCCTCTCTAGGAAAGTTAAATGCTAAATGTTTTGTAAATTTTTGTATTTAAGTAGTATTAACAGTTAAAGCAATTATTAGTTTAAATATGCCTCTGGCAGTTTTGTTTAAGATTCTCAATGCCACTGTAGCTGGAAAATCCTGCCTGATAGTCCCAGTAAATGAAAATGTCACAAGTATCCTAGCAGTCATATTATACTACAGATGAGCAAATGCCAGAGGTGCAGGAACTACATCTGGAAATATTTCTAGCCTTTATGCTGCTCTCAAGACTAAATGTACAGGGTGTTTGCTGTGGTGGTAAATTTGACCATCACCCATTTACCCAACACCCATATTACCTGAGCAGCTGCAAGTGGAAGTGTGACCGCTATCTTCGAACAAGGGAGGGAGAACACCCTTGGTCTGAGCCAGAGAACTTAATTTGGATTTCCCTGTTCTGATCTGAATGGCCAGGATGCAGCTTCCATCTCAGCACTGTGGCACGCTGTTTAAACACATGCCACAACCTCACCTTCCTTATAAAAATAGCCTAGTTAAGCCCTGCTTTTTTTTTTTTTTTTTTTTTTTTTTTTTAATTTTCTCTTTTAGTAATCCCTTTTCACTGCATGCAGGAAGCATTCAGAATTTATGCTTAACAGGAATCAATCATTTGAGTTACTCTTTCATGATCTGGAATGACTCCTGTCCTGTAGTGCTGTAGTGATTGCTGGAGATATGAACTACTTTTTCAGACTGATCTTGCTACATCTCATTCCCTTTTTGAGTTCCCTGACACAGCCTCTTTATCTGTAGTGGTAGCTGCATTACAGACAGATTTCTTAGACCAGTGATCTCATAAATTGGAGAGGTGGTGGTGGTGTTTTGATGTTTTGGGTTTTTTATTAGGGGCCTTTTTTTTTTTCTTTAGCTGTATCATTTCTTGGAGTAGATTGTGTGTGTTGGGCTGTGAGGACAGGTGTGGAGTCAAAGGGTATATACCTGAGTGGATCTGCAAGATGAAAAGTAATCTTCCAGAATAGTGCCCTGGTACAATGTCATCTTGTTGATAAGCTGTAGAAATCATGAAAGGGGAAAAGGTCATGAGTCCTTGCATTTCCTCAGTGATGATGTTAATCTGTTGTATGCAAAATGCACAGGCACAGCACTGTCTAGTTTTGCTCAGACTGCTTTGAATCATAGCCCAAAAATGAAGCCATGTGAAATACTTAAGATAATAATAGATTTGTGTAGTGGCTGCTTTCTTTACTGTTAGCCTTGACTTGAATGGAAAACAGCTTACAACTCATGCCACAACCTGGAGCAGTGTAGAAGCCCCCCCAAAAGCTATCCCCACTCCTAAGCTACAGCAAAGCCTGTAAATCCATTTGTTGCCTAAAACTAAACCTGTTAGACAAAATCAGAGAATTACACAAGATAGACTGAAATAATACCAAGGAAGAAAATAAAACTATCAGCAATAACAATAAAAGCAGAGTCTTTTTCATCCTTTGTGAGCGCTCTGCTAAGGGGGCAAGACTTTTGCACCCCTGCCTTATTTTTGCCCCTCTTTGTAAGCCTTTCCCAAAGCATCTGAAGGTCTGGACCCTGGGAAAGTTTGCCTTGGTTGGTTTCCCCCCCACGTACACCTGAGCAAACAGATACTCTTTCCCTGTAGCAGGTGGATTTCTAAGAGGCATTTTCTGAAATGAGCAGCTGTTCTCTTCCTCAGCCTTCCTCCCCTTGACTCCAAACAGAGCAGATTTCTCTTCACCCACAAATGAAGGCTGTCAAAAGTTCACTTGAAATGAGATGGACATGACAGGCAGCAGCTCAGTTTTCAAGCCTGGAGAGATGTACACCTGCTCTGTCACATTGCTGTCGTGCTCGTGTGTGGCTCAGAGCTGAGATTTAAGACTTCCAGACTGCTGGACAAAAATAATAATAGAAATAAAGGGATTTAGAGCTGCATGCTGTTAGGAGCAGGGTAGGAAGAATACCACAGTGATCACTGTGGGGTGAAATTTTGCACATTTCCAAACAACTTATTTTAGGCTCTGGAAGAGAGCCGAAGGCCTGTTGTATGGAAAGATCTTTATCATCCCATCGGATTGGTTTATTATTATTTATTTGCAAATTATTTTTTAAGGATTGTACTGTGTGTCTAATTATATGATGTGCAACAAAGAATGAGTTAATTGTTGTTACTCTCCTTTTAATAATCCAAAGAGAGACAACCACTTATTTTTCCAATTAAGTAATAATCCAGATCACCCAGTTTCTGTTGGAGATTATTACAAATACAATTAAATCAACAGGTGTGACTGTCTGGGAACCTGTTTCTTCTGCTGCTAAGCTCTTGCCTTATTCTTGTGATACGAGAGTGAGCTGTCAGCATCACAAAATCCTGCTTGGGCAAAATTCTGGGGTTTGGTTCTTCCTGGTCTTGCAGTTGCTTGGGGTTGTTTATATATATTTTAACGCTGTATTTATTAATGGGCTGCACACTCTTCTCTCCTGATGATCCATGGAATGGGTTAGTCTTTGCTGTGATTGCTTAAATTCCTTAATATTTTCCTTGCTATATAATATGATTTTTGGGTTAGAACCACACACTTGGCCAACATTAAGCCAGACTGAAGTCGGAACAAGTTAATAATGAAACCAGAACCTGGCTAAAAATACAGGATAAACAACAGGTATCTGTGTCACGGTTTAAGGCCAGCTAGCAGCTAAGTACTACAGATGCTTGATTACTTCCCTCCAGCCTCATATATCATTGTGATTCTGTATTTTCATACTGAATCCAAAACATAGCGCTGTACCAACTACTAAGAAAAAATGAACTCTATCCCAGCCAAAACCAGGACAATCTGACATTGCAGCTAGGACAGACTAGACAAAAGTTATCCCAGGGGAAAGTTGCAAGTGCAGCAAAGTTTCTCAAATAACTTGGAGATTAGAGCTAAATTTAAGCTAAAATAGGTTGTAGTTCACACAAAGCCTATCAAGTCCTGGTGCCTGGTATTGTTATGAAGCTTAAGGCCTGATACTTGACAGCACCAAACTGACAGGACTACAGATGCTGCTGGCCCAGTTCTTAACTTAAACTGGTTGCCTCCAAGAATTCATTTATGCAGTCTTGTGGCATAGCTGTGAAGTGACCTTCCTGCATTTAGGGACAGATGCCTTTTTGTCTCTCCATATGAGAATTAGTTTGAGATGGGGCTGAACTAATTTGTCATTCTCAGAGTAGCAAATGAAATTTGAAGTTCTTTCAAGTCACTGCAGCTGCAAGGAAGTGAGCCTCGTCTGCTGTCCTGTTCCTGCCCTCTGAGCTTCTGCTCCATCTCTGCAATGCTTCTGGGAGACAGCCGTGGTGAGGGCTGCATCCTTGTGAAAAGATGGCACTCCAAGGTCAGGCTGATCTCTCCAGGCATTAGCA